TATCTATGTCCGGTATTGAGACGCGTGCGCAAAAAGCGAAAAGAGAGAGAAGGGAAAGAGAAGGTGTTCTTTATGAGAGTGTGAGGAAGGGAAAGAGGATGTTTGTCCGAAAGTGAGCAAAGTGTGGACCCCTCTTGAGAGATGTACTGACACCCTATCCTCCGGCATGGCAGACATCACGTCCGAGCAATGGAAGGCCATGCTGGACGCAGCGGCCGAGAACGAGAGGCCTTTCTTTCAAAAACTTTATGAGGACGCTATACACAGAGAAAGGGAGGCAGACGACATCTTGATAAATAAAATAAGATTGCCCAAGAATACAGTGCGAGCCCCCTGACGTTTACAGAGTTGAGTTTGTTCTGGCGAATTGGAGTCACTTTCGGATCAAAGCGTCCTCTACTCTTGGTGGTGAAACTCTACCGCGGTGAAAAAACTGTAGAGGAAGCTCTATGGGAAAAAATAACTCGATGCCAGGATCATTGTTTGTTAAATCCCTTAAGTGAGGAGATCTTTATGAATCCTTTGATTTCTGCTGCTTCAGTAATTGCTGTTGGATTAGCAGTAGGTCTACGATCTGAAGTCCTGGCACTGATTGAAAATAAGATTCTAATCTTTGAGAATGTTTAGCACTTAATTGTCTTCCTACTCCTCCAGGACCACGCACTACAAGAGGAGTTGTAAAATTTGGAATGCCAAAACTAAAGTTGTAGCTTTTTGCATATCTTTATTCAAACTTACAACGCCGGATCCCCCGCCGATGTCTGAAGACCAAAGTAGCAACTTGCAGATCTTCGATGCAGATATGGCAGCCTCCGATCAAGTCTCCCTCTTGAGGGGAAGCCCAAAAGTCACTCAATGTCTTCTGGAAGTGCAGATTCCAGGTGCGAGTACCTCTCTTTCTCTACTCCCTCTCGCTTACTCCAATCAGCCTCCTGTGTCTCGCCACCCCATCCAATCACTCAAGCAACCTGGTCAGGTCTTATGTCGACCCTAAGTGTCGCGGGCCTACCCCCGCTACTCAAGTGTTTTCCCCCCTGCGACCCTCGAAGTCACGGCCACAGGTAAGTACCGGCCCTGCAGGGCCTTTCAATCAACAAGTACCCTTGCGGGTCACACACACACTCAGCCGACAAGCACTCCGACAGGCATGCAAACCAGCAGGCACGCACACACACACACAGACATGGAAATCACAGCAGAATGCGGGAATCTCAGCAAGGCATTCATTTCAGTGGCAAATCCCTGAAATCAGCAGTGTTCTCAGTTTGTGTTTTTGGCGGGTCATTACACTTTCATTTTCATAGATTTTGAAAAAGCATATGATCATGTTGACTGGTTCTTTAGACAAATGTTTAGAAAAGTTTATCTTTGGCCCTTGCTTTAGAAGGTGGACTGAGATCCTACATTCAAATGCTACAACTAGGGTTATGATAAATGGCAACCTGGCTCCACCTATAGAGTTGGAACGTCGGGTGAGACAGGGAGATCCAATTGCCCCTTTCTTTTTGTCATAATGATGGAAGCCTTAGCGCCCAATTTAAGATGTAATAGAGACATTAAACGCATCAAAGTCAGCTACATTCTACCACTTTGCGCCTTGTTTGCAGATGATTTTTCCCTAATGGTGGAAGCCTCGCACGAAAATTCACTAGTAATTAAGAGACTGAGGGATAAATTATGCTCCCTCTCTGATATGAAAATCAATTGCGGTACAAAAACATAGGGGTGGTGGATACACCATCAGGGAGAAAGACCTCCAGAATATCCAAATATCAGCTGGTTGCAGCAACCCCAATTAGGGTGTTGGGGATCTCACTCTCAGCAAAAGGTAAACCATCAGGAAATAATGAATGGATATCTAAAACAACTTTGTTCAAATTAGAACTATGGAAGGTTAAACGAACCTCTATTATAGGACACGTTCGTTGGTTATAAACAACGTTATTCTAACCACTCTCTGGTACAAGTCTGCAATATGTGCAATGGACAAATCAGCACTTAAACCTCTACAAAGACAAATAACAGCCTACCTATGGAGAGGTAATCATGATTTCAAAAATGTCATAAGTAGAGTGGCCTGGCAAGGAGTAATCTAGCCTAAAACAAAAGGAGGATTGGGAATCCTTGACCCTTCAACCCAAGCCATGGCACTCTCAATCCAATGGATCAAACAACTACTTTTTGACCCAGAGACTCCTTGGTTAGCTCTAGCAGAAGAACCGATCTCGAGACTAGCCCCTGAAACTCCAGAGGGAACAGATCCGCTGATGTGGCTAGAAAATTGTTACTGGCCCATTCCAAGAGGTAGAGTACAACCCTCAAGCCAGCCCGCGAAGCCACACCGTCAAGCCATAAGAATGGACATTAAAAATGACTCTTTTTGGCCAGATCTGCTCAAGATTTGGCGCAAACTACCTTTACCAGACAAAATCCCCCCAAACCGATGGGAAGAAGTCTATCAACAACCCCTCTTTAATAACAGATGGTTGACGGACTCACAAGGAAGGATGTTCCATTGTATGGATTCTCCCTAGAAGGGCTGGATTAAAAATGGGGTCCTCCCTAGAAGGGCTGGATTAAAAATGGGGTCCTAAGGATTGGGGACATCTCGAACCCAGAAACTTGGGACTGGTACTTTCTCTCTAATCTCCTACCTAGTTTGCGTTACTGTAGGAGAACAGAAAGAGCACTAGATACAATCACTGAAGCTATCCCGATAGAATGGACACGGATCCTTGGAAAAGGACCCCAACTCAAAGAGAGTGAAACCCCCAGCAAATAGGTAATGTGGTAGTAGTCAATGACGAGAGATCAATTTTACTCTCCTTATTCTCAATCAACCAAAAAAATAGGCTAAAGGAAAGTCAAACTAAGGAAACCAAATGGGTCAGCACCAAATGGGTCAGCACTAATCAGATATCCAGGATCAGAGTTTCGAGATATAAAGAACACTGGCTTGCTTTCAAACCAGCATGTGCAATTAACAAACTGGGTATAGATCCGATCAATTGGTCATGGATGATCCTCTGGGGACAAGCAGAAAATGTACTCGCAATATCCACTCACTGACGGTCAAATCAACTTACCGTATGCTGAGACCTAGGCTGGATCTGAAGGATAGAGTAGAAACGAGGTGGATGGAACATCTAAATGTAAGCAAGGAAGACCTTAGACATGTCAAGTGGTTCAAAACTATTCAGATTAAGCCGACAAAAATTGCCTCCTTACAATGGCAAATTGACCATCGTTGCCTTCCCACGAATGATTGGCTAATAGATAGGACCTCGATGGAGGAGTAAGGCATTGCTCTACCTTGGTGCAAGCTATGTTCCGCTGCGTTCCCATCTAGGACCATACCGGAAACCATCGAGCACATATTTCTCCAATTTCTAGGTGCAGTCTGGTTATGGAGATGGTGGGATAGGATTTGGAGTTCCTTAAATATCCCTCTGACTTGGCCATGGGACTGGAGGACTCTTTTATGGAGACATGGTCTCCAGATCATCTAGATGACTTCTCTCATAACTTATCTATAACCGGCAGAAGAGCCATCCTCTGGGCCCTCTGGCAACGTCACTGTACTTTTGAAATGGAAGGAGCCAGGCTGGATGGCCCAGTTTTTACTGATACAATCAAGTTGCAGGTACAAACTGTTATCACAGCTCAATGGGACAAAGTAAAAGAAAAAATCCAATTCCTGTCGAATATATATTATTGACTTGCCGGGGGAAAGGAACCGGACTGTCGCTCCCCAGAATGGTAGAAGCCAGAACCATAAGGTTCTGTTTTTTGAAAGAAAAAAAAGAAAAAAAGAAAAGAAATCCAACAACATATCCAACTATTCGGTGGCGCTTGGCTAGGGGAGCCTCAAGGACGTAAGATCGGACAGATCAAAGAGAGTGGGTTCAGGAGAGAGAACAGTATTGGACAAACGTAGACCCAACAGTACCCCTTCGCCCACTGTCAGAGTTCCCAGATCCCTTCCCCTCTTCATCATTATCCCTGGTCCCCATGAGTTGGTTTGGCTGCGAATGAGGAGGAAAATGGTTCTGGTATGCTGTAACTAGCTAGTTGATACTGTCTGTTCTGGCGGCCACACAAGGCTGAAGAGGCTGATTACAAAATATGAAGTGGTATGGGATGAGAGAGCAGCCGAACTATAGAACAGGCGATTTCAGTACAATAAGGGAATTGATGCAAAATCCGAGAGTGTGGAGGGTCTGGTCACAGCCAATGCTCAGGTCAACATTTCCAAGTTCATATTTTCTCAACTTTTCCGAAAAGATGATGTATAACGGACGCTGGACCCGGTTTCCAGCAGGTGCAGCTCCCCACCAATAGATTGGAGCCATTTTCCCAAAAAAAAAAAAAAAAAGGACGACTCCAGACAATCCTGGAGAGTCAGAAAAATAACATAGAAACAATTGTGCCTGGCAGCCCTGGCCCTGATTCATACGCATAAGCTCTGTCATAGTGCCATCGCGGATGGAATTCCCTCCAAGAATTTGTGTTACAGGGCCTGGAATTTAGGTTGCACTCATCTAATTACACGCCATTATCAGCATGGAATTCGTGTTACCCTCATCTAATTACAAGCCACTATCAGCATGGAATTTGAGTTACCGTCATCTAATTTAAAGCCATTAACAGCACGCTGCAGAACGATACGTTTCCACCTGTGCCACCCTATTCAACTCATACATTCATACAGAGTGGAAAACTAGAAATCCAGTCAGCTGGTGTTTTTGACATCCGTTTAAATTGGAACGAGAAGATGAGCAAGGCCCCTGCGCAGGATGACACGCTTAAGTAAAAAAAATGGCCCAAATTAAAAACAGAAAAAGAAACTGAGCCAGCAATGTTCATGATCTCTTTTGCCAAGGTATATAATTGCAAGAAGAAAAAGCACAGGGTAAATGCAACTCAACTACGCGCGCACAAAGTCAAACACCTTTGCACAGATTTGGTGCCCGAAAATGCCATGATGAGGGGTCACTTACCTTTTGAACGTGAAGCTCCCAAAGTTTGGGGATGTTGTATAAATAAACGTGGATGATGGGCTTGCAGCCACTGCAGTTGCAGCAAGTTGTTCCTGCATGCCAGTGAAAGGAAAGCCAAAGCCATTTGCAGGCATTTTGCCCTGTAAGAACAGCACAACAACAAGAAACATAGTAGGGCAAGAGGGGTGGCAAAGCGCCAACAACTGCCGCATACATGGAAGGGCTTGCGAGATGATGCACAAAAGTAAAGCGAACAGGGTTTTCAGGATGCACAAGGACAAGCAGTCTGTTTATGCTTTCTAACTTGTACACGTACACAAGATGAGTTCCAGGAAACAAACCTTTCCTTCACGTGTCCTTACTATGAAGTGCCGGTATCGTCGCCCATCTGCACACAAGAAAAAAGGACACAGCAGAACGTCAGATGATAGAGCTTGTGGAGCTCCGCCTGCAACAGAAAGGAGTATCGTCGATGATGCAATGACTGGGACAGGAAGCCAAAGTGTGGGTGGCGGATTGGAAAATAGAAGATGAAACAAAAGTTGCCCTGTGTAGGTTGTGTTATGACGGTTAGAGAGTTATTTGTTGTGCATTCAGACGTACAAATAAGCAACCATGACTGCAACAGGGAAAGAAAATCATGAACTGAGGACGGCGAAGTGAGGGTGGAAATTCTGACAAGACTGCTCACCCACCCAGTCCATGGATTTTGGAGATTACAGAGTAACAGAAAGTTGCAATGGTTCCAGTTTTCTAGAAGAAAAGCAAACCATGAAAGGATTCACGCTGCAGACACCCCAGTTCCGGTCCCAGAGTCCCGAAGTGTCCCGGTAGGATAGGCAGTAGGGACTGTAGGCTGAAACGACGTAGGTCGGTAGAAGTCCGTCCGGTACCCGACAAGAAAAGTCCAGAGAAGTCCAGTTCAATCCAACAGTCCCAAGTCCAATTTTGCAGCATGTCGCAGGAAAGTCCAGAAGATACGGGACCGACAGACTGTTTGCAGCAGACAGGCGTGGCCGACCGGCACCGGTCTCAGGCCAAGCCAAGTCAAGTCCTATATTTAGCTGCTACAGTGCAGCGGCTCATCGCTTGTTCAATTGCGAGATGCGGACACACTGCTGCTGCTTGTGCGTTAAGGCAACGTGGGCACTTCGCGCCTGAAGAAGAAGAGGGCGCTCGCGACTTACTCCATAGCTAGGATAGGAGGTAGGAGGTAGGACGGCCATAGCCACCAGGTGTATCCAGGGTGACGATCTAAAATAGAGGGAGCAGACAGAGAGTGCGGCAGAGCGTTCCAAGACAGAGAGAGTAAGAAGGAAAGGGGAGCCATAGCCGACAACCGGCTGAAGACCAGTTCTGATTGTGTGTGTGCGTGTTGCATGCTGCACCTGCACACGGGCCCAATTTTGGGGGAACGACGGTTGCTGAGGGCCCCTAGGCCACACACCCATTCCAGGCACGCGACCGAGAGGCCCACGACCATGTTCTAGGCCAAGGCACCTTTTTGGTGCCATCCAGGCTCTCGTTTTCAGCATTTATTTATTTATTTATTTATTTATTTATTGCTGATGAAAGGATTCCTGCTTTATACACCCCAGTCCCAGTTCCAGAGAGTAAGAAGAAGTTGAGGGGGGCCATAGCCTCCAACCGGGTTGAGATCAATTCTGATTTTGTGTGTGCGTGTTGCATGCTGCGCCTGCACACGGGCCCAGTTTTGGGGGCACGACGGTTGCTGAGGGCCCCTAGGCCGCACACCCATTCCAGGCACACGACTGAGAGGCCCACGACCATGTTCTAGGCCAAGGCACCTTTTGGTGCCATCCAGGCTCTCGTTTTCATCATTTACTTATTTATTTATTTATTTATTGCTGATGAAAGGATTCATGCTTTACACACCACAGTCCCGGTCCCAAAGTCCCAACCGGTCCCAGTCCCAGGCTGTCCCAGTAGGGTAGGCCGTAGGGTTCGTGGGTTGAAGCGTCGTAGGATGGTAGGCGTCGGTACGGAAATGTCGTAGGTCGGTAGAAGTCTGTCCGGTACCTGACAAGAAAGTCTAGACGAGTCCGGTCCAGTCCAACAGTCCCAAGCCCAATTTTGCAGCATGTCCCAGGAAACTCCGAAAGCCACCGGATCGACAAAATGTTTGCAGCAGACAGGCCACGGCCGACCGGTACCGGTCTGAAGCAGGCCATGCCAATCCATGTCCTATATTTAGCTGCTACATTGCAGCAGCTCATCACTTGTTCATTTTGCGAGACGCGGAAGCGCTGCTGCTGCTTAAGCGTTCAGCCAACTTGAGCCCTTCGCGCCTGCGGAAGAAGACGGTGCTCGTAGCTAGGTAAGAGGTAGCATAGGAGGAGAGCGGCCATAGCCGCCCAGGTGGAAGCTTACCTGAGTGGGTGTATCCAGAGTGTCGATCTAAGACAGAGAGAGAGACAGAGTGAGGCCGAGTGAGCCAAATCAAAGAGAGAAGCAAGACTAGCAGAGAGAAGAGGGGAAGAGAGAGAGAAGCCATAGCCGCTGTTTGGTTGAGACACGTTGTGTATGTGGGTGCGGCAGAACCGCCGAAGACAAATATTGATAATCTCAGTTTGGCTTCTCACTTGTGAACTCTCATGTGAATGTTCATTGATGTATGCGAGGTGGAACAGGACAAGTACTTGGTTAATTTCAGTGGTATCAGAGCTGGTTCCCGCTGCACCTACTCGGAGTTTAGGCGCTGGCAAGAAGAAGGCGAGCGGGCGATAAATATATATCGTCACAAATAGAACTGCCCGGTAAACCGTAGGCAGAGAGAGAGAAGAGGACAACAAACGAGGGGCTAGGACAAACTGTTTCGTCGGAGTTTCACCGACTCATATATATATTGTCACATCACTACAAACTAAAAGAGCGCACTTTGCGGAACAAAGAATAAAAGCAAAAAACGGGCACAGTGATAACATGCAAAAATAAAAAACAAAAAGAA